TTTGAGGATCTTAAAGCAGCTTGAATCCATTGCATGTGTTTTGAAACTTTGCAGGGTTGATTACTTCTAAATTCTTGACGCTCATTGTTGGAAGTTACGCCACTTAAATCCCGGAAGCTACGCCACTTGAATCCCGGAGGCACGCGCCAATTGAATCCCGGAGGCTACGCTATTTGAATCCCGGAGGCACTTCCATAGATAACGTCAGTGAAGAATCAGAGGACTAGACAGAGATTTTGTACATGCATTGAATTATACACACACTGTACAAGAAATTTTGTGAATATATACAAAGTTTATTTTTTGTGTTTACAGATTTTGGCACGCCCAGTGGGACAACTCTGCCTCTCATCTCTTCACTGTTGATTCGCGAGCTCTACAAGGAAGGAATCTAAATGGCATCAAGAAATCCCTCCTCCAAGATGACATATGCTCAGGCTACCCGCTCCAGGGCATCATCTGCGGCGGGTTCCGGTGATAGCCAAGGCGTGGGAGGAGCAATGACTCGAAGCCGAGTGAGGAACCTAGGGGTCCAACTCCACGAGGCCCAGGACATTGCCCGCCACATCGTCCGAAGGATTGACAGAAACTCCACTATGTCACGGAGAGCTGCACATGACAAAGGATCATTCTCTACAAAGGAAACTGTTGCTGACCAGAATCCTACAAGTGAGGGAGCTCCAAGCAACAAGAGTCCTGCGAGCCCTATTCCCTTGAATAAAACTCCAAGCAGTGGAAGTTCATCACAGTCATCACTTCTGCAGAGAACGTCACTGGAATGGAATCACATATACACGATCATGCCCGCTATGACAACGAACGCGGCTTCGGTGGAGGAACAACTCGCAAACATCACTAAATCTCTCGAGGGGATAGCTGCACTCATGCATAACCAAGAAAGGCGGATCAATGAGCTCAGCGAAAAGGTTGAAAGCGGAAGGAACGGCGAAACAAGTCGGGCTTCCGGGAAGCAGCCTCAAACCCAAAGAGATGAGATTGATGTCGAGTCCCTGCGCCATCAAAGTAGGCCAGGAATGGAAGAGACAATCTCCCGTCCACCACCCGCCGAGAAGAGTATCCCAATTTCTGAGGGCATGATACCCGTTGAGCAGTTGAATGAGTACATCATGGGAGCGATCAAGGGGAAGCTCGAGAGAGGACAATCTTCATATACTTACACTAAGCCATATACTCAGAGAATTGAAGAAATGAAAATGCCGCTGGGCTATCAACCTCCCAAGTTCCAGCAGTTTGATGGAAAAGGCAACCCGAGGCAGCACATCGCCCACTTCGTTGAAACCTGTAATGATGCAGGAACATACGGAGATCTCCTCGTCAAGCAGTTCGTCCGCTTTCTGAAGGGCACTGCCTTTGATTGGTACACAGACCTGGAGCATGGTTGCATTGATAGCTGGAATGATATGGAGCGCGAGTTTTTGACCCGCTTCTACAGCACCAGGAGGACTGTCAGCTTCTTGGAACTCACCACTACCCACCAATGGAAGGGTGAGCGTGCGGGCACTTACATCGAGAGATGGAGGGAGTTGTGCCTTAACTGTAAAGAGAGGATATCACAAAGCTCCGCAATTGAAATGTGCATCCAAGGGATGCACTTCGAGCTCTCTTATATCTTGCAAGGAATCAAACCTAGAACATTTGAAGAACTATCCAGTCGTGCTCACGACATGGAGTTGAGTATTGAAGCCAATGGAGGGCTCGGCATGTCAAGTATCCCTAGCTCATCCAAGGCGCCTGTAAAACAAGAATTCAAGAAAGGGGGGAAACCCTTCCCGAAACAAGAAAAGAAGGAAGCCATGAACGTAAAAACAGCACCAATGCGGGTTTTCGCCAAAGTAACTGAAAATCCCAGGCTAAGGCCATTTTCCCGCCCATCTCGGGGTACTAGAATCATTGAAGAGATGCAGCAAAAACAGTATCCGTTCTTGGACTCTGATGTGTCACCCATGTTTGATGAATTGTTAAAGCTTAAGTTGATTGAATTACCGGAGATGAAGCGTCCCAAAGAAGCTTCTAAGGCGGACGACCCCAACTATTGCAAGTATCATCGTCTCCTCGGACACCCAATTGAAAAATGCTTCGTCTTTAAAGATAAGGTGATGAGACTTGCTCGTGATGGAAAGATTGAGCTGGCTGATGCAACTGCCAGCACCAACCAAATTTCATGCGGAAGGTTCGCTCCGTTAGTTGAGGAGAGTGATGAAGAGGATGGGGGCAAGCAATACAAACGCCCGCTTCCATTTATTGTGAAACATGCTACTAAGCAACAGCCGGAGTTACCACAGGTCAATTCGGTATGCGAGAAGGATTGGGTAATTGTTACCCGCAAAAAACAAAGGAACAATGCTGGACATATTAGATCTTTGAAGAGAATAACGAAGCAATGGGTTGAGAGAAAGCCAGCAAGGGACCTCGCCTATGACACAAAGATGCGAGGACGTCCCGGCACGTCCCGAACACCAGTTGCCCTGGCTCAATTCATGCCGAAGGCGCTTCCCCCGCACGGGACAAATATTCCTGGAACTTGCTTGAATATTAAAGAGAGACATGTTGAAGAGGATGAATGTTCATTCCCCGTGATTGAAGGAGGTGACGAGGTTCAAGTCCACAAAGCCGCGTCTTATACCGCCGAGATAACTTTTAAAGATGAGGATCTGTTGCTTGGTGGTACACCACATAATCGTCCATTGTTTGTTGAAGGTTATGCCCGCGAGCAAAAGATTAAAAGGATTTTGATTGATCAAGGGTCGGCTGTGAACATTCTATCACTCCGAGCTATGAAAGAACTTGGCATCTCCACCGATGAGCTCTCTCAAAGCCACTTAATGATTCAAGGATTTAATCAAGGCAGACAAAGAGCACTCGGTACCATCAGACTCGACCTCAGGATCGGAACACTAAACTCGAGTACACTATGTTATGTGATAGATGCAAGGACATCCTACAACTTGCTGCTGGGCCGGCCTTGGATACATGAGAATGGAGTAGTTCCCTCGTCCTGGCACCAATGCCTCATGTTTGAAAAAGGCGGGGTGATAGAAAAGGTAGTCGCTGATGAAACTCCCTTCATCGAAGCAGAATCATACTTTGCAGATGCAAAGTTTTATTTGAAGAAACAAGTTGTAGAGGAGGCTGAACAAAGCAAGGTTGACACACCTCTTGATCCAAAATGGAAAGGCAAGCAGGTTGTAGACCAAGCTCATTGCGACAAGGAACTTGTGTTCCCACTTGCAAGGATTGAAACATTAAAAGCAGCTCCAGTTAAACTGCTTAAAGATGAAGTTCAAGTTGGGACAAGTCAAACAGTGCCCGCTAAGCGCACTGGCGGCTTCGACCCTAATGTATATAAACTTCTATTCAAAGCTGGATATGATCCCAAAGAGCCACAGAAGCTGGGGAAACTCATCCCAAAAGCTGGTGGTAAAGGCAAGTCAAATCAGCAGGAGCCGCATCAACGCAAGGGATTGGGTTACGTTCCCCCTAAGCCCGTGCGAATATTCATAAACAGAGCCACAAGTAATTGCATCACTTCTACAGATGAGGAGGAAGGTGACAAGAAACAGTCTGTTTTTGATAGAATCGGAGATGTAGAATCACGACAATCAGTCTTCCGCAGACTTGGGCCGAATCCCAAACCGGCTAAGAGAAAATCAGTACATGACAGAATTGGGCCTACTCAGAGTTCGAAGGAGCAGACCAACCCTCCTACTGAAATGGAACCCTCAAAAAGGCTCAGGAGTGCCGTTCCATCTCGCATGAGAAGGGAAGTTAATATCCATGTCTCGTGTGGTGAAGTTTTGAAGGTCCAACCAAGAACCATTGTACACACCCAAGTGCAAGAAAGAAGTCAAGAAAATATTGATTCAAGTTGTGAGGCAACACCAAGTCAAGATGAGATGGCATCGTCATTTCATATAACATTATACGATGAGATTCCAACCGAGGGTGAAGATGCAGAGGATGCACCTCAAGAGCTAGAAGAAGGGGTACAAGCCGCAGTGGACGAACTAAAGGAGGTGGATCTAGGAACTCCTGAAAGTCCTCGACCTATCTTCATTAGTTCACTCCTTTCCAACGAAGATGAAGAAATATATGTCACACTTTTGAAAGAATATATCGATGTATTTGCATGGACATATAAGGAGATGCCAGGGTTGGACCCAAAGGTAGCCGTGCACCGCTTGGCAATAAAAAAGGGGTGTCGCCCGATTAAGCAAGCTCAACGGCGCTTCCGCCCCGAGCTCATTCCCTCAATCGAAGCAGAAGTCAACAAGCTTATAGAGGCTGGTTTCATTCGCGAAGTTAAATACCCAACTTGGATATCCAGCATTGTGCCTGTGCGCAAGAAGAATGGCCAGATCCGCGTGTGCGTAGACTTTCGAGATCTTAATGTTGCATGCCCGAAAGATGACTTCCTGCTCCCTATCACAGAGTTAATGATAGATGCTGTAACTGGACACGAGATCATGTCATTCATGGATGGCTCATCCGGTTACAATCAAATCCGCATGGCGCCAGAAGATGAGGAGTTTACTGCGTTTCGTACGCCAAAAGGTATCTACTGCTACAAAGTGATGCCCTTTGGTTTGAAAAATGCAGGTGCTACATACCAAAGGGCCATGCAGACTATATTTGACGACATGCTGCATAAAATGGTGGAATGTTACGTAGACGACCTGGTTGTGAAGTCGAAACTCCGCACAGATCACATGATGCATCTAAGACAAGTATTTGACCGCTTGCGGAAGTTTCAACTCAAAATGAACCCCCTGAAATGTGCTTTTGGGGTTGCTGCTGGCAAATTCCTTGGGTTTACTGTTCGACATAGGGGCATTGAGATCGAACAAGCAAAGATCGACGCTATAATGAAGATGCCTGAGCCAAAGAACCTTCATGAGCTTAAAAGCTTGCAAGGGAAGTTGGCTTATATAAGAAGATTCATATCAAACCTAGCAGGAAGATGTCAGCCCTTTAGCCGGTTAATGAAGAAGGGTGTCCCGTTTGTATGGGATGAGGCCTGCAAGAATGCATTTCAAAGCATCAAGTCCTATTTAATGAAGTCGCCTGTGCTAACTGCTCCAATTCCAGGACGCTCGCTGATCCTTTACATCTCCGCCCAAGAAAGCTCGGTGGGTGCTTTACTTGCACAAGAGAATGATAACCGGAAAGAAAATGCCCTTTATTATTTAAGTAGAATGATGACGCCAAATGAGCTCAAATATCTGCCAATTGAGAAGTTGTGTCTGGCCCTTGTATTCGCCATCAGGAAGCTCAAGCATTATTTCGAAGCGCATACAATTCGACTAGTTTCCAGGGCAAACCCAGTGAAGTATGTCATGTCAAAGGTTGTTCTTTCCGATCGACTTGCTAGGTGGTACTTATTATTTCAACAGTTTGAGATCAGTTATGTACCACAGAAGTCCATCAAGGGGCAAGCCTTAGCAGATTTCCTAGCTGATCATCCAATTCCTGCCGAATGGGAGCTGTCCAGTGACCTACCTGATGAGGATGTGCTTGTGGTTGAAGTTTTACCTCCATGGAAGATGTACTTTGATAGAGCGGCACACAAAGAGGGGGCAGGTGCTGGAGTTGTCTTTGTTACGCCTGAAGGGGAAGTGCTTCCTTATTCATTTACCTTGACGAAACGCTGCTCGAACAATGTTGCCGAGTATCAGGCACTCATTTTGGGACTTGAAATTGCAGCCGATATGAAGCAACTAAGGGTTAACATATACGGGGACTCCAAACTAATTATCAACCAAGTTCTTGGGGTTTACAAAGTAAAAAAGCCTGAGTTGATCCCATACAACAGTTATGCAAAGACACTCCTGCATTGGCTAGGAGATGCTACGATGGAGCATATTCCAAGGAAACATAATAAGCAAGCCGATGCCTTAGCTGCTTTGGCTTCAACTATATCACATCCTATAGATGAGGCTCGGCTACGAGTATGCCAAAAATGGGTGGTCCTCCAATCTTCGAGGACGATGGCTCTCTTGACGACATTGTTGAACTCCCGACTGCTTCTGTCTATGAGGTAGATAAAGAGGATTGGAGGCAATCATTGATTGACTACCTTGTTGATGGGAAGTTACCTCAAGACCCTCGTAAGAGGGTAGATGTAAGACGTCGAGCTCCTCGCTTCATATATTTCAAGGATGCTCTATACCGGCGCTCGTTTGATGGTGTGTTTCTTCGATGTTTAGGCGAAGAGGAAGCTTTACAAGCGATGGAGGAGGCTCACTCTGGAGTGTGCGGTGCTCATCAGTCTGGTCCTAAGTTACATTTTCACATCAAAAGAATGGGTTACTACTGGCCTACGATGGTGAAGGATTGCATAGACTATGCACGGAGATGTCAAGCATGTCAATTTCATGCGAACTTTATCCATCAACCTCCCGAACCGCTACATCCGACGGTAGCATCGTGGCCATTTGATGCATGGGGGCTCGATGTGGTTGGTCCTATTACACCCAAGTCATCAGCAGGGCATTCGTATATATTAGCAGCACCGATTATTTCTCAAAGTGGGCTGAAGCAGTGGCTTTAAATGAAGTGAAGAAGGAAAATGTTGCAGATTTCATCCGAGTTCACATTATCTATCGTTTTGGCATCCCTCGGTATATCCTAACCGACAACGGAAAACCATTCGATAATAAATTGATGGATAAAATCTGCAAACTTTTTGAGTTCGAGCAAAGAAATTCATCAGCTTATTATGCAGCTGCAAATGGACTTGCCGGGGCTTTTAACAAAACTCTATGCAATCTACTAAAAAAGGTGGTGTCGAAGTCAAAACGTGATTGGCAAGAGAGGATGGAAGAAGCACTGTGGGCATACAGAACTACATACCGTACACCAACACAAAGCACTCCATACTCACTGGTTTACGGGGTTGAAGCAGTCTTGCCTCTTGAACGCCAAATACCTTCTCTAAGGTTAGCTATCCAAGAAGGTCTTACAAACGAGGATAATGTAAAGTTGCGGTTGGCAGAGTTAGAAGCTCTCGATGAGAAGAGATTGCAGGCCCAACAAAGTTTAGAATGCTATCAAGCTCGAATTTCTAGAGCTTTCAAAAGAGGGTAAGGATTCGCTCATTTCAGGTTGGTGACAAGGTGTTGGCAGTTCGTAGACCCTATCATCATTACAAGGAAAACTGGGCACAAAGTTTACTCCAAAATGGGATGGACCTTACGTGGTACAAGAAGCATACTCAGGAGGTGCTTACAAGCTAATTGATGAGATGGTGTGTGAGTTGGCCCTATTAACGGGAAATTCTTAAAGATCTATCATCCCTAAGCCACACGGACTACGTAATGAATGATATCACAAAAAATGCAGCACGTGGTTAAACTGCTAATGCATCTCGCTTGTCTATGAGTGGGCCCAAGTCATAGACTCTCTTGACCCGCACGAGCTTAAACTGTGTACGGTAAACTCCTGGCCCGCATGAGTTTAAACTGTGAACGGCCCTACCTATTCAAATGGTCCTTTGAACTACGTTTGACTTGATCTCCTTCGCAGGAGTACGTAGGCAGCTTAGAAACACCTCATCTTCTAAGTTCAGTCATAACTAAAATAAACCCTTTGTGTCCCTTTTATGTCACGTTTGTTCGAATAATGTAGATGTATTGGAGATGGGTCATCTCTGTTCACGTTGTAATTACGGGTGAATTCTTTTTGTCAGATTTCTATTAGAGTGACTCATTTGGGTTTAGACTTAGTTGCTTCTGTTCATGCTGAAGTTCAATTATTCGCAAGTATTGTTGAAAAGATAAGAGAATTCAAGTCGTATTCAAGTCTTGTTTCAAGTATAAAACTCATGCGTTATACAAAAAAAAATCTAAGCAAAAAAATAAATAAAAAAAAAATCTAAAGTATTCTAAAGCTCATGAGATCTTCTTTGTACGCTTCCAGCTCTCTTTTGATTGAAGTAAGCTTTTCTTCATCTTCATCTGTCAACGTGGGGCAGTCTCAAATACGTTTA